AAAAAAAAAAAAAAAAAAAAAAAAATCATGGACGAAAAGACAGTGGGCAAACCCGGGCTTGTTGTTGGAGCACAACAAAGGTGAGGAAGGCTGACACAATTTTGGCATTGGACCAGCCTTCTTGCACCTGCTGGCAATTCCCCATCACATTGATTCTCTCTCTCTCTCTCTCTCTCTCTCTCTCTCTCTCTGTGTGTGTGTGTGTGTGTGTGAGTTCGTTATGCATGGAATGATTGGAATCCCCACCTCGTTGGCTTCTGGTTTGTTTTTAAATTTCAAGTCGTTTTCAATTCATTAAATTCATTTTCAATTTGTGGCCCGGGACCACTTGCCCGTTCGGGCCAACGAAACTTTTAAAAATATTAAAATAAGAAATAAATTATTGAAATATATATGTTATGCATATATATTTAAAAATATTAAATATATATATTTTAAATTCGGTGAAGAATTTCTATGTGACCTTGAGCCAAACGTTGTTCAGTTTATTTTTCTGCATAACTGTCATAACATTTTTTTTTTCAGTTTTTCAACTGCTTTTTGGCCGGGCCCTCCCATGCAACAAGGTCACCTGGGCGGCCCGGCTTGTACCCTTGCTTACCAGTGTACAACTTTGGTTTGAACCTAGTTAGGAAATGTAGGATGCATTGATACTACTACAGATTGAGGCTTGGTACATAGGCTTCACCTTTTTTCACCCGAATACAATGTACGGGCATTATGGCTGTATGTAGACTGAAAGATACCCCAAAATGCAGGTGTAAATTATGTGTTGTATTCGGTGTTATGAAGGTAAAGATTGGATTTTGGTACGGTCGTTATTGCTGTATGTAGATTGAAAGATACCCCTAATACAGCTATAATGATCATACGTTCTATTTGGGTGGAGAAGGTAAAGATTGGATTTTTGTTTGGTCTCGCCTGCCATTCCCGGTGCTCTTTCCCTTGTTCCACACACTCCCCCCTTCCCTCCCCCCCCCCCCCCCCCCCCTTCGTTCTCTCCCCTCCCCTCTCCATCTCCCCTCACTAATCCGAACCACATAAAACTTTTAAAACGAAACAAAAAAAAAAAGTTCACCCCGTCTGCCTCGCTCTCCCCTTGCATTCCACACACTCTTGCTCTCCTTTGAACTTTCTCCTCTCTCTCGTTGAACTTTCTCCCTCCTCTCCTTGAACTTTCCCTCCCTTTCAGTTCTCTCCCCTCTTCTCCCTTCGCTATTCCATGCCATCCCTCCCATCCACTTCCATGCACTCCCCCCCCCCCCCCCCCCCCAGAAAAGACACCTTTTTTTTGGATTAAATTTGGACCATTTCTTGATTTATGTTATCCTTGCAGGGGATGTCCATGAGTTTTCCCAAAAGAATTTCCGATTATTATTATTATTATTAATTTATTATAATATTATATTATTATTATTATTATTATTTTTTTTTAGAAGGGCCCCAGTGCCCAAGGCTGAATTATAACAGTCCTGGGAAACAGCCCCGGCGTCCCTCACCTGATCATAAATAAGAAGTTTTAAAAACAGTAATCCTTCTCTTGAATCTTTGCCCATCTTCTTCTCATTCTTCAGCGCTCGTACTTCTTTTGGGTGTCCATCACCTCTCCTACTTCTTCCCTTCTTCTTCTTCTTCTGAATCCTCTCTCTCGCCCCGTTCCCTTTCTTCGCTCTTTGTTCTCGGGTATTGCCATCTCCTTTTCTATAATGACATGCATTTCTTCGAACGAGTCTGTGTATGAACCATTGACTACTCTCTCTGATAAGCATGTTCCTGATTATGGCTCGACTCCGAATGACACCACGCTGTCTATCTCTGCATTGGAATCTCTGTGCTGGGCCATGCATCTATAGGCCTTCCAATCCATGCCCTGAAGGACATCAAATAGTCACTGCCCCTCGGTTGTTCCTGATCAATAATGGTGACGATATATACCTCCTGATGAGTTGGTGAAACTCAGATGAAACAGTTTGTCACAGCCGCTCGTTCTCTCTCTCTCTCTCTCTCTCTCTCTCTCTCTCTCTCTCTCTCTCTCTCTGTATATATATATAACTCCGACGAAACAGTTTGTCACAGCCCCTCGTTTGTTGTCCTCTTCTCCCTCTCTGCCTACGGTTTACCGGGCAGTTCTATTTGACGATATAAGAGATAAAAAGAAAAAAAGAAAAAAAGAAAAAAAGAAAAAAGATATGTTGATCTGTGGGATGTGTTATTTGCTTTGCGATAATTGGATTATCTTTCTTTCCCTATCTTTCTTTCCCTGTCAGGTTTGGTTATCTTTCTTTCCCTGTCAGGTTTGGTTTCCTCCTCCCCTTCTTTACCTCTTTGCCTTTTGGCTGCGTGCAAGTGGGTCCTTGTGACACACGGGGATGGGGGCAGCCAGCGCTCAACCTGTCATCCACGTGGCTGGCCTTGTACGTAAGAGGTTATGAACAGGTGGAGCTTTCCTTACCTCCTTCCCTTTCCCTTTTTTCCTTTTCCTTTTTTCTTTTCCCTTTTTTGCGCTCTGATTCACAATGTGACAATATATATATTGTAATAAAACTTGTGTTTGACGTTAGTACTTGTTACAGCCAATATAATTTCAATTTAGGGCCGCACCCCTCTGTATTGTGAGAAGTACAGCGGGGTCGGAAGTAGAAAGCACGGACTCTCTCTCTCCCTCTCTGTCTCCCTCTCTCTCTCTCTCTCTCTCTCTCTCTCTCTCTCTCTCTCTCTCTCTCTAATGTGTAAAGAATTTAAAGATTTATACAATGGAAGCATCTGGACACAAATGATCGCAACAGATCCGGACATCTCGGGATGGTCCAGTTTCCTGTGGATGTATGGTCGTCCGGATATCCTGACTGTGCAGCTGCCCAGGTACGGATCCATCCAGTGTCCAGGTCCACGATAGCCACGCTTTCAAGTGCTATACACTGTTTGGAGGGAGGTTCTTTTTTGTGTGTTTTTTTTTTTACTTCGCCCGGAGACAAATTAAGTGTTGTTGTTGGTAAATGAGCGAATGTTCTTTGTCCTTTTCGGCATTTGGTGTGGATCAGTTTAACTACAAGAGCGGTGAGCCAGCACCAGAGACAATCACCAATGAGATCTACAAGAACACATTAACGGTGAGGGAGTGCGATGAAATTTTGGGCGCTATTTGTGGGATGCATTTGCATGTTTTTTTTGTTTAATATGAAAAATATTAAAAATCCTTGTTTTTTCTTTTTTTTTGGGGGGGGAAATTGGAAAATATAAAAATCTTGCCGTACTGTATGTAGTACGTACTGCTCGTCAGAACTCAGGGTAAGTTGGGGTTTGTGAGTTTTTACTGACTTTTAGTACTGTAAGATTTTTATATTTTCCCCAAAAAATAAGTTATGTGTGGGGGGTTCTCAGGGTAAGTTGGGGTTTGTGAGTTTTTAACTTTTTACTAACTTTTGAGTTTTTACAACTTTTCAGTTTGTAGTTTTTTGTTTTTTGAACGTTTTTCGTTTTTTTAAATTTTTGTTTGTTTTTTTGTTTTCATTTTTTTTGTTGGGAGGGGAACTCAGGGAACGATGGTATTTATGATACTCGGTTTTGAACTTCTTTTTGGGTTTTTCGTTTTGAAACCTCAAGCAGTCGTTATGGCTCGGGGCACATTGGTTTTTATTGAATTTTTGTTTCCACTTTATTTTTTATTCAGTCAGGGACGCCGTTCCTGATTCGTTTTTTTTTTTTTTTTTTTTTTTTTTTTTTCTTTTAAGATTTTTTTTTTTTTTTTTTTTTTTTTTTTTTTTTTTTTTTTTTAATCTGAAGACTTGTGTTGATCTGTCTGTACTCGTCTACATGCTTACGTGGACTTCATGTTTGAGAATGTCTTTTGACTACTGCACGTGACATTTATATATCACAACTTACCTGAGTTACCTCCAATTCTGTTTTTTTAAGTTTTTTACCGAGCCTGATTTTCACTGCGCACCGAGTTTTACCGAGCCGGGGCAGTTGCATCCAAAAAGGAAGGGGGGGGGTTGGGGGGGGGGGRGAAAAAAAGGAGGAGAAAAGAAAAAGGAAAAAAAAGAACGAGGGCCACGAATCCCTATGATAACCATCAGATATGTTCTACAGATATGTTCTATAAGGTGCTAATGTGACTGTTGTGCCCTCAGTGAGGGCGTGTGTCCACATAACAGGGGAAAAAAAAAAAAAAACATCCCTTAATGAGTTAATAATACTTGATAATAGTTGATATCCTTATGCTTTGATTGAGGGGCGATGTAGGATGCTACAGCACTAGTGTGAGTATGAGGTAAGTGAGACAATTTCATGTCACGCGCGGAATACGCCCTGCCTGCCTGGGTGGCAGGGCACTACAAGGACATGAAAACAATGAAAAAAAAAAAAACAGCAATCACATTTCTCACAGTGGCCAGATACATTCCTCAAAGCACTTGTGTAAACTGCCACCTTCATGATTGCCTTCCCCGACATCGCTGGGCTGGAAACTCTTTATTATTATTATTATTTTCTTTTCTTTATTATTATTATTTTTTTTTCATTTTCTTTTCTGTCCTCCAACGCTGCGCCGATCCCCCAACTTTTCAGGAACAGGCTGCTAGATGGACTTTGTGTTTGCCTGTGAAAGGTAGTGAGGGGGGGAAGGGGTAATCATTTAATGGTTATTAACTTATTACGGCTTGTAAGTAACTCATTACTCCCAACAATGCGTGCACAGATTAAGGAGATAAAAATGGCGACGTTCGCTGACGTGGACCTTACCGAACTCGGAGAGACGAAGCATGGAGAGTTTTCTGTTGAAGTCATTGATCCAGTTTCGGACTATCTTGGGTTGCTGAAGGTAAGCGCATGCGGTGAATCAGTTTTTGTTTTTGTGTTTGTATTTAGAAAAAAATAAAAAAATTCCAGTGATAATGAACGAACCCCTGCATCTGTTTGAAAAGACGGTCCGGTTCATTCATTAAACAAACCCGAATTTTCTGACCTACAATACAGCTAGGTTGATGGAACAGTACAACTGATGAATCTAACTTTTTCTAGTTCCTTTTTCTTTAGTGATTTAAACTGATTTTGTTTTTAGCAGATTTTCAGGAGAGTGAAATAGAGTTTGTGTTTTCTTTAAGGTGTTTTGATTTGGAATTTTGCATCAAATTGGATGTAATTTTCCATAAGTTTGATTTGATTGATTTTAAAATTACTATTTAATATTTATTGAATTATAATATTATATTAAAAGTATTATTAACTTGTTAACTCAACTCAACTGTACAACACACTGTAGCGACCTAGGCTACCAGAGTTCCCCGGGTCCACTTGCCCGGCCGGGCCAAAAAAAATAAAAAAATAAAAAATAAAACATATTTCTTAATTTAAAATTTTATTTTAAAATTTTGGTAAAGAATTTCGATGTGATCCTGAGGCGAAAGTTGTTCAGTTTATTTTTCTGCATAACATTATTGACTTGTTAACTCAACTCAACTGTACAATACACTGTAGTGGCAGAAAATAATAAGTGCATGCATCTCAAGTTTGGTTAACTCAACTCAACTGTACAATACACTGTAGTGGCAGAAAATAATAAGTGCATGTATCTCAAGTTTGACTTTGACCAAGATGTTGACAATCGATGATTTCTTTTTTTATTTTTTTCCTGATGATTTCGTCCTTGCAATTGTTATCGGCTTCGTGTTTTTGGACGGCCGTTTCGCTGTGGCGTGTGTTTCAGGAAGTGTTCGACTTTGATGCCTTGAAAGGGTTGATCGCACGGCCTGATTTCCGGTCAGTACATCATCGCGCACCTGCCTTGACGACGACGTGCATCTGCGTTGAAATCCTGGAAATCCTGGAATCTACACCTCAGTACCCAGAGTAAAGAATTACTGCTAATTAATTAATTAATATAATAATGATATAAATATATAGTATTTAGTAAATAGTAACCTTGAATGGTCTGGACCCTGTGCCGGGGGTCCGGAGGGTAGAACCGCGAGAGTGTAGAACCGTGAGGATCTGCACGATGCTTCGCTGCTGTGTCCTGTTTTTATTCTACTTCGAAGCGAGAGTTTCGTTTTGAGTGCGAAAGTTTGACTACATTGAGTACTCACCTGTTTGAGAGTGCTCACAGTTCACTGATGAATGGACTATAGCGCTGCAGCTTGTCTGCACCGAAGTGATATCTGCTCCGGGGGTCCGGAGGGTAGCCATGCAACTGAATGAACGCTGGAAAAAAAGTCTTTTTGTTTTTGTTCTTCTAAATTTCTAATGATTGAGTGCAGTGTCTCTGCATATAGTTCTCTGCTGATTCTGTTTTCTTTTTCTTTTTTTTTCTTTTTTTTTTTTAATAAATAGTTGGTTTTACAAATTGTACTCATCAACAGGTTCCATCATCATCTGGATTCGAACACGGGTCTGTATTTGAACAGTTCATGGGTGTACCCACTCAGCTAGGCTCTTGGGTTCTGTTTTCTTTTCCTGTGTTCTTCTTTTTTTTTTTTTTTTTTTTTTTTTGGTTTGTTTTTTTTGTTTACTGCATTGGGTTTTGTTACAGTGAAATGGGCCATTAAATATTAACTGGCCTACTTCCGTTGCTACACCCATGAGCTGTTGAAATGCAGACGTCAGTTCGAATTCCGATGGAATCAGACGAGGAGAACCGTAAACTCTGAAATGGCCATTTTCTCCGACCTCGCTCACTCCTGCTGTATTTCTGGTTTTAGCCTATTGAGAGAGGTTAGCATTGCGCTTAGCCGTTTTTGTGAGTTGGGCTATGGTTTTGTCTAAGCTTCCTTTTCATCTCCCCTCCTTTCTCTCTCTCTCTCTCTCTCTCTCTCTCTCTCTCTCTCTCTCTCTCTCTCTNCTCTCTCTCTCTCTCTCTCTCTCTCTCTCTCTCTCTCTCTCTCTCTCTCTCTCTCTCTCTCTCTCTCTCTCTCTCTCTCTCTCTCTCTCCGGTGTTGGATGAGTTGTTGCTGTTTCCACTTGTCATCAGAGTCATCACGTATTCCGAGCGCACTGTCACCTGAGCCTTGTACTCATAGACTGTGTGCATGCATTCGACTTTCACGTGTTATCTGATGCCAACAACAATATAGAAAAGGGGAAAAAAAAAAAAAAGATTGTGATCCGTGCTTTAGGGCAAGATGGGGACCGTACCCACAATTGCTCGACCGGGACCCCCAGATGGGCCAAATGCGGTTTCATCCGATCCTGCAGAATGAGGAAGAATCAGATTAGAACTGGGCTATAGATTAGAGCCCTCAACCGATCCTGCGGCTTGTCCATTCCGGTTCGAGTCCGGACAGCGGTGTGTTTTATAGTTAGAGGAGGGATAGGTAAGACTGAAAGAGTAGGATTGATAATGGGAACCAAATAGATGTACTAAAGTAGGGAGTAAGAGTGTAGCATACGTAGATAGGAGGGAGGATGGGGGTGGGGGGAGTTTTTTGGGGTGAGGGTTGCGTACACCCAAGGATCCCCCCCCCCCGGTGCCTTGCCCTCTCGGGGATTATCCTGGAGCGTGCGTGGGTGCTGTGCGTATGCTTCCCGACTTGCGGCGGGACACTGCCCGAGGAAAGACCAAAGGGTGGAGTGGGTTGAGCCGAAGCAGCCCCCGCGCACGCATGCCCTTGAACCGGCATAAGGTACCCCGACAGAAAAGGAGGGATTAATGTGGAGTGCGTACATCCTTAGATTGGAAAGTGTAGTACACTACTGTCTTCACCCGAATAGAACGCCCGGTGATTGCTGCCATGCCTGGACTTTTTTGAAGTTGCATGAAGTACAGCTATAATGACCGGGCGTTTTATTTGGATGAAGACGGTAGTTTTCCGTCATGCAGGTCGTCGTCCAAAGCCTTAACCTTCTTTGTGCGGCCAGCACATTAACTAAGCTGTTTTCTTCTCACCACATGCATCTGTCAGTCGAACCGTATGTTACCAGCAGACAGTTACTTTGTCGAACTGCACGGCTGATCGACAGTTATAGTCACTTTGTCGAACTGCACGGCTGATCGACAGTTAGTTTGGCAAACCACATGGTTTATGAATAGTCACTTTGTCGAACTGCACGGCTGATCGACAGTTAGTTTGTCAAACCACATGGTTTATGAATAGTCGCTTTGTTGGACCACATGGTCTGACATTGTTGTCAAACCACATGGCTTATTGACAGTTAGTTTGGCAAACCACATGGTTTATCGACAGTTAAATGGTTTATGAATAGTTGCTCTGTTGAACCACACGGCTTATTGATAGTTAGTATGTCAAACCACATGGTGTCTTGACTGTGTCTTGACCGTCATGTCGTGTGTGTTTTGACTGTGTGTCTTGACCTTGCGGTGTGTTGAAGTGTGACTTAGCACTTTCATTCTTTTAACTACACATGGTTTATCAACGGTTACATGCGTGTACTGTACCATTTAGCCAAGAGGCAGGCGGGCATGATGCTGAGCTGCCTTGGCCTAATCCTAAACCCCAAACCCTAAACCCTAAACCCTAAATACCCATTCTTCAAAACCATTAACCCAGTCCCTAAATTCCAAGTCTCGTCAAACGGAGTCAAACCTACTCCTCAGAGGATGGTTTAGCCCGCCTCTTCTTGGGTAATTCATCACTAAAAGTTCTTTACCCTAAACCCTCATCTAACACCGCAAACCCTAAACCCTCGTCTAACCCCCCAAACCCTCATGTAACCCCCCCCTGATCTTAAACGCTAAACTCGAAATGGATCCGAAATGCTCTGAATCCTGTACCCTAATTGCTGAATCCTAAATCAAATGTAAGCCCTAAGCCATAATCCACAACCTGTGAGGACTCGACGAGGTCCTCGCCACAGGCAGTAGAGGACGGGTAGGTCGGGGGCTCCAGCCCAAAGGAGTAGAACTCTGTCAGACCAGGGTTTGGCCCCGGCCAGCCGGCCTGGCACCGGGCAGGGCAAGGGCAATACTACCGTCTTCCCCCGAACATAACGCATATGCTTTGTATTAGAGTTTTTGAAAGAAGAGAAAAAAATCGATCGAATGGAACGCATATGCGTTGTGTTTGGATATTCCACCTGTTCAAATAGAACCCATATGTGTTCTATTCGAATAGAAAGCAACCTACGCGCTGTATTCGCTAATAGAAAGCAACCTACGCGCTGTATTCGGTTAATGCATATTTGTATGTTCGGGTGAAGACGGGTAAGAGACTGTGTAGGGAAGTGCCTACCGACTGAGCAGAAGAAGCTCGGGTATGAAAGGAGGGCTGGGGTGAGTCAGAATTGACTTTTTGGTTTCAACTCTTGAGAGAGTTTGACGAACAGACTGCTGGGCGCTTGTGGTGGTGAGCTGCGCGAGGAGGAGGACAGACTAGCTTCATCTCGACAGATGAGGGCCCGCCATGGGAGAGGCCTGGCTCTATACCTGATGCGCTGATCGGGCGGTCGCTATGAAGGGCGACTGGTTTGCAATGACTGGCTGATCGGGCCGTCGTTGAAAGGCAACTGGTTCGCAATGACTGGCGGCAGGCCAGCATACCGTTTTTTTTTTTTTTTTTTTTTTTTTTTTTCCGAGCACTACCTTTCCTGTTGTTGGGAAAACGGGAAATTATCCAACGGGTAAAAAAACGGAGGCCGGGCCCGACGATGGCCGCCGTTGATGAATCTCATCGGGCAGTTGTCGTTTTGTTTTCGCCTGCTAAAGATTTGGGGGCCCTTCGGCGGCCCACATGGGAAGAAGTAGGGGGGTGGTTTAACCCACTACAACCACCTCTCAGGCTGGGAGGCTAAGTCGTGAATGTAACCTATGGCGGCGATCCCATTCCGCCGCGTTCTTCGGAGGCCGGCGGTAGAATTTTCATTTTTTTATTCGACTCTCAACTCTCCTACACTGGTTGTTGCATTTTTGTCAATTTTGTCAATAAATATCTAAAGCAGGAGCACTAGCTTTAACCCAGGATCACAAGATAGTTAAATATCTTTGATTTTTATAGTGATTTTAACATGATTTTGCTTTTTAGTATTTTGTAGTAAATTTATACTGAATGGTTCAATTATTTGAATTTATTTCAATAATAAAAATATTAAATAAAAATATTAAATAAAAATATTAAATAAAAATATTAAATAAAAATATTAAATACAGCTTTCAGTTCAATTCAATAAAAGCTAATGTAATTTTGTTTGATCACCTTTGTCACTTTTTGTGTGATTGAAAAATAAATTTCCTGTGTACGATTGGCTTGGTGCGTCATTCAAAAACGTGTGCAGGCCTTAGGGGGGCTCATTATGAGTGCTAGCCACAACCCTGGAGGTCCGGAGAACGACTGGGGTATTAAGGTAGGGGTATTTTCTGGTATGCCTCCGGACAGAGCATGAGATTAATCTGAGGGGCGTCCATTATGTGCATGCTCATAACTGGGTGAGAAAAGAATTCAAAAAAAAAAAAAAAAAAAAAAAAAT